GAGAGAGAGAGAAAACGACAGGGTAAGGCAAGCGGACGGGGTGGCGGGCAGCCTCTGGAGGTGACGTGGGGGCAAGGTCTTGCGGCAGGCAGAGCTGCGTGGGGAGGAGCGGTCCAGCCCAGGGAACCGCCTGCGCCGCCCTCACACAGGCGTGTAGCTGGCGTGGGCAAGGGAGAGCGAAGGGGCCTTCGTCCTGGGAGCAAAGGCGCGAGCAGATGGGATGGCGCCGGCAGGACTCCAGCCTTGACCCTGAGGAGGAGTGGGAGGGACGGGGCTGGGCGGGACCCCGGAGAGAGGCGAGAGGGGCGAGACGTGGGCATGGCGAGAACGCTCGAATCTCGACGGATGCGGGAGGGAGAACCAACAGGGTTCTCTGAAGAACTGGGAAACTAGAGGAAGGAGCCCGGGGTGCTGTGTACTTCGGCGGAATCGGGGAAGGAGGACGGCGTCACCAGCCGCCGAGGCCGAGCGGCCAGCTGGGTGGGGGCTGCGAGCCCGAGAGGCCTGGGCCGCGGAGTCCAAGCGGCGACCGGGAGAGGTCCGAGCTGGCGCGGGTGGGCTCGATCAGCGAGCGATACAGAGGAGGCCGGGCAGGAGAGCTAGGAGAGCAGACTGCGGAAGAGCAGGCAGTGGAGAGAGTTTCCAGGAGGGAGCGCGGCCACAGTCGGTGGGGTTTGCAGCCCGAGCCGGCTTGGTTGGATGCAGGGGTCCCGGGAGGGAGGGTGGTGGGGTCACCGCGTGAGAGCAGACCCCTCTCCCCCACCCAGGAGCACACCATCAAGGTGCTGGAGCTGATCTCCACCATCTGGGACACGGAGCTGCACATTGCGGGCCTCAGGCTTCTCAACAACCTTCCCCTGCCGGACTTCGTGCACCCGCAGCTGCGGCGGGTGATGCCCGCCCTCGTGGAGATCGTGCAGTCAGACCACGTCCTGACGCAGGTGCGCCTCGGCCGGCAGGGCTGAGAGCTCTGGGCTCCCCACTGGCATCCAGACTCACCTCCCGGCCCCTCCCTGGGCTTTCCTTCGCGCAGGTCCAAGCCATACGCCTCATGAGCTATCTGGCACAGAAGAACGATCTTCTCTACGACATTCTCAACTGCCAGGTGAGGGGAGCAACCCAGGAGGGCCTGATGGATGCTCACGCAGGTGCTGGGGAGAGAACTGAGCTCTCCGCACAGATGGAACCCCGATCGTCTCGTTGTTCTTCCTGCCTCTGCACCGGAAGCACCGAGAACCACCCCCTCTCCTATTCCCCCAAGAGAATGAGAATCCATTTTATTAGGAAATATGTTCTCCTTTGAGGAGCTTTTTGAACTCCTGAGAGTTGGGAACACAGAAAGTAAAAGTTCATGTAAGTATTTTAATATTGGGGAAAAGTGGCATATAGCAAAAAGCATTATTAGAGACAGAGTTACCACATAATCATAAAGCAACTATAAACTTGTATGCACCTAATAACATAATCTCAAAATATATATGGTCAAACTTGCTGGAATTGTAAGGAGAAATGAATAAATCCACCACTACAGTGGAAGATTTTGAAGATTTTAGTAATTCTTTCATCCACTGACAGATAAAAAACAAAACTAGTTAGGATATGCTTGCTATAAATACAGGTAAGCTTGAGCCATTAGACATACCTAGAACACCCTTTAATTACAGTATTAAATGCACATTCCTCTACTACTCACATAATATTTATAAAAATTAACCACATACTAAACCTTAAAATTTATCTCAACCAATTTCCCAGAATCCATATTATTTATCAAATCACGTGCGTTTTATGACCACAGTGTAATTCAACTAGTAAATGTGAGTGAAAGGTAAATGAAGAATTTCCTATACAGCTAACCTGAAGCCCAGGTACATTGGTGATTGGAGGATGGAAAACAATAATTTTAGAACTTCCCATTCGCCTTCCATTCCTGCATGACAGGTGCACTCTGACTTCCTGAACTTGTTCCAGTCCACGCAGCCAGGAAGCCTGCTGTTGGAGGTACTGGTGTTTGCTGAACGGCTGAGTGAGGGCCGGAATTCGCCCCACTACCGTGCGGTGAAATGGCATTACAACCAGCAGTCCCTGCACGAAGCCCTCTTTGGGGATGAGTCCCGCCTGGCAGACCGGCTGCTGGCCCTGGTCATCCACCCCGAGGAGGACGTTCAGATCCAGGCCTGCAAGGTCATCGTCAGCCTGCAGTGTCCCCAGGACTTGAGAGTCCGGCCCTCCTCCTACCATCCCAGTCATTCCTACTTTAAAAGCAGGGAATAAAATTAAGAAGAACCAATAAATGCTCCGAGAGTCTGTCTGGCCCTCCAGGGCTGGGTGGAGGTGCCATGCAGAGTGACCCTGGCCCCAGGGTGCGCAGCAAGGAAGAGCTCCCCGACACATCCCACTCCCACATTTGGGAGACCAACTTCCCTCTCCTCTTGCTGTTTTTCAGATCTGAATGTGGAGCCAGTGTTTGTAAGAAGCTGGGGAGAAGACAGGTGCTGGAGTGTGGGTGCGGTGTGGATGTGGCTTAAGTGTTTCCCTCCCCCACTAAGGTTCCTGTGCTGGAGTTTGGGTCCCAGGGTGACAGGGCTGGGAGAGGGTGTGGGCCTTTAAAAGGTGGGGCCTCATGAGGGTTGGCTACCGGATGCTTTTAAACACATGTGTTTCCGCCATGGCGGGCACCGTATGCCAGTGCCGTGAACGCCTGAGAACAGGCAGTCAGCTGCAGCCCACTTGCTGTAGGTTTGCCATCAGTGCCATGTGTTGTTAGGTCCTCACCCAAGGTAGAACCACTGGCCTTTGAACCTTAAAAACTATAAGCTTAATAAGTCTCTTTTCTTTGTAGCTTGCCTTAGGTATTTTGTTTTGGTCACAAAGCTTGAGTAATACCTCAGGCTTGGGGACCAGTGGTAAAGAAAATCAATAGGAGCCAAGCATCGTGGTGCACACCTGTAATCCTGGCACTTGGGCGGCTGAGGCAGGAGGATCACCATGAGTTCAAGGCCAGCCTGGACTACATAAGAGACCCTATCTTCAATAGCAAAACAAAACAAAAAGAAAACAGAAGATGGTGTACAGCATTGGATTAGTCAGAATGGGCTAGGCTATGCAACAGTAACAAAGAGCCCCCAGATTTCAGACAATGACAAAGCTTATTTCTTACCCACACCACATGCCCAGTACAGGTCAGCTGGGGGGATGGAAGGGCAGGGATCTGGTCCCTGTCACCTTCAGTGACACAACCTGAGGAAGATTCCTTCCTTGTTCTTCTCCAACTAGTGCAGAAATTCACTCTTAAAAGTGATAATCCACGCTTAAAAGTCCCACCAGAAATGGTGCATAGCCCTTCTCATATTTCATTGGTCAAAGGAGATAGGGAGAATCAGTCTTACCAGGTGCCCTAAGAAGAACTGGAAATAGTGACTGCATTAAGGCTCAGAATGACAGGCACACTGGGAAGGTAAGAGGGAGAGCTCTGGAGTCCGACTGCTGGGTTCGAGCCCAGCCTGTCACTTACAGCTGTGTGGCCTGGGCTGAGCCAGTAACGCCATGTGAGCCTCAGTTTCCTCGTTTGTAAGATGAACGGAGGAACAGCACTCATGAGGCGGCTGCATTCTGGGGAGACCAAGTCAGGGTGAGACCCGGGGTTCTGCGTCCTTCTTCAGGGCCCGGCTCAGCGGAGCTTGTGCTCATCATGGAAAAGATGAAAGGTTGGCACCGAAGGGCCCTTGGAGTGCGTGAGGCCAGTGTTTTAGTCTCTTCAGGCTGCAGACACTGAGGGTTCTAGGGTCCTTCATGAAGCACCCTAAAAAGCTGCTGGAACTGAGCCTTGCAAGCCAGAGCAAGAGTGTGAGTAACAGAAACACTACCTGTGGAGACTCTGGACACAAGAAGCCGTCCACCCCAGTGTGATTTCCTGTCTCTAGACTTTCCAGTTTATTCGCATTTTCCCTCTGTCCCTTTCCCCACTGTGTTAGCTGGGAGGTGACACTCAGAGGCCATTCCTGCAGAGGGAGCAGCGCCTCACCAGAACGGAATCGTGTGCAGTCCGGTCCTGAGGCTGCTCCTTCCTGATGCTCCGTATGCGGCAGCCACCCCAACAGACTGAACCAAACCCCCGGCACCGTCCCTCCCACCTGTTGCGGCCGAGGGCTACATCCTCGGCCAGAAGCCTCGCGTGCTCCTAGGCGGGGCTTTTTGGAAACTGCATGGATGGTGGGGCTCAGAACTGGCGCGCATGAAGAGTGGGGTCCAGGAGGAGGAGGCGGGTCACTGGGGCGTGGCCTGGAAGGCTTCATCTCCCCAGCTCTCCTCCACTCTCTGTGAGCAGCTTTTCCCCTACCGCCCCCCTCTGCGAGGTCATCGGCCTTGGGCTGAAATGTGAGCCCAAATAAACCGCTCCTCTCCTAAATTGTATGTGGGGCGGGTATTTTGTCCCAGCAATGAGAGAAGTGACAAAGACAGCCAGCTCCCTGCACACCCACGTCACCAGCGCAGTACTGGACGTCACCATCCAGTTCTCCATCCCACCACGATGGCCCCGTCCCTGGTATCAGGACCCCTGCACGTTGGGTCTTCTCCCTTCCCACCTCGTTTTAGAACCCTGTTTTCCACCATCTTCAGAAACCTCAGGGGCTTCCGATTTTTCTTTTTTCTCTTGGTACCGGGGATCAAACTCGGGACCCTGTGCTTGCGAGGCAGGTGGCAGCACCACTGAGCTACATCCCCGGCCCACCTCCAGATTTTCACGATGACCCTTTCCTCACATCATCGGATGGACAGAAATGGACTCTCTGTGGCTGGGAGTGTGGCTCAGTGGCAGAGTGCTTGCCTCGCATAGGTGAGGCCCTGGCTTCCATCCCCAGTAGAAAGAGGGAGTGGGGGGGGAAGAGAAGGGAAGGAAGGAAGGAAGGAAGGAAGGAAGGAAGGAAGGAAGGAAAGAAGGCAGCGACGCAGATAGTATAATTGGGGCCACTCCTGTCGACTCACCTGAACTGGGGCGGTGCCCAAGGCCCACCCGCAACCCTTGCCCTAAGGATTACTACAAGGAGGCAGAGAGAAGGGAACCGAGACCCCTCAAGCCTGCCCTGGAGAATTCCAAAATCCTAAACCGGGATGCATGCACGCCAGACCCCCTGCATGATTTACAGCAGTGGTGGTGAACCTTTTAGGGACCCAGAGTCCAGGCTGCAACCCCAAACCCACTTATTTTTACTGCCAAGTGCCTACGCTGTAATTAAACCTGTGTACTGAGGTTTTAGTTTAGAAAAACAACTGCTATCTGCTGCTCAGCTGCTAGGGTGACTTGGCTCACGTGTCAATAGAGAGGGCTCTGCTCTGCATGCCCAGGGGCACACACATGCCATAGGTTCGCCACCGCTGACTTATAATGACCTTTCTTCACCAGGAGCTCATTGGAGGTCTGTGCATAGGGACTGCATCTCGTACATCCAGTTATGACAGTGAATTATGGGAAGGGACTTGTGCAGGAGACACGGCTGACGTGACTCAGCACCCTGTCAGTCATGCTCTGGAAGCCCCAGTGGCTTCTTTTTTTTTTTACCCTGGATTGAACTTGGGACCTTGCAATTGCAAGGCAGGTGGCAGCACCACTGAGCTAAATCCCCAGCCCTTCGAAATGTTTATGTCCTCTCTCTCCCGTTTTTGTGTCCTTGGTTGCCCACTGCAGTCACAGTCAGACAGTTAAAGCCCATGAGGGTGTCGGCAGCTTGAAAACTCCCGTGAAAGGATACTTGGTCACTGACGGTGGAAAGGAGCATTTTAGGTTCCACTGGGGGGCGACAAAACTTCCTTGCACTGCTCAGGGTTATGTTCACATGACCTCTTTTTTGCTGTGAACCTCTGCAGCTTGGGGATTCCCTTTCCATAGCTAGAGTTTCCTGGGCCCCTGGAAAATGAGTGCTTAAATACTAAAGTGCCAAAGATCCACAGGCACTTGCTCCCTCGAGGCAGAAATGGGAAGAGGTGCCAGGGGCCCCTCCAGGAGGTAGCGGCCTGGCTAGGTACCCTGTAGGTCACCACTCCGTCCTGTCCCTGGGTCAGATGGGCCCAGGAAGACACAAGTAGGGATGCGGCCCCTTCACCCGCCTTCAGCAAAGCTCCTCCACACCTGGTGTGGGAGACTTGACCCTGAGACACAGTGGAGAGACCAGGCCTCTGGATGGCCACGGAGAAAGCAGTCCCCGAAGGCACACACTCACACTTCAGCCAGAAGGAGGTCCTCTGAACTGCTTTCTCCTTCTTGTCCCTTCTCCTCCCCCTCCGTCACTCTTCTAAATGAAACGAGCCGGATCCTTTTACCACCTCTTAAAAATCTTCACTCTAGAGTCACATGCCTCACAAGCTCAAGGACCCAAGTTCGATCCCTGGTACAATAAACAAACAAACAAATCCTTGCTCTTTCTCTGTGGAGTTTTCATCTGCCAGAACACACATCACCTTTTGTGAGGTGAGTTTGGGGGAATGCAAGGGAGATGGAGACGGGCGAAATGGCTTTGTAGGGGTGAAGGGAGTGTAGGTGAGTTCAGGTTTTAAAGCTAGGCCCTGTCTGTGCTACTGGCAACAGTAGGGTCCAGAATCCCACCTTGCCCAGGCTAAGAGCACCTCAGGTGGCCTTCTCTGTTCACTAAGGACTCAGCCCATTCCTAGTTCTTAGACTGCCATCTGCTGGGCTCCTCACCCAGTAGACTTTCCTCAGCCCTCGGCAAGTAAGCAAGCTCCACTTTCCCTACTGGCAGTAGGGGCAAAAAAAATGTATCAAGACCCAGAGCACTCCTGCTGAGAGTCATAGTCAAAGACCATCTGTTACATAGTTACCTCAGTCAGAGCCAGGACTCCCAAGAGGCACCTATGCAAGAAAAACTCATCAGGGTTTTATTGAAGTCTCTCTGGGGGAAAGCGCTCACTCTCCCTGCTTAAGCATACCGTGGTGTAAGGAGATTCTAAACTGGCTAGGGCATCCAGACACTATGGCACCCTGCCCTGGACCCTTGTCCACGAGATGGGTTGTGGCCAAAGAGGGAGATCCAAAAGTCCAAAGGAAGTGGCGCTGGTGCCCACATAAGGCCAGAGATGTCTGTATCTGAATCACAAGAAGTTCATCTGGATGCCCTGGGGCTGGACGGGCTGGGGACCAAGCCAGGGACACCCTGTAATGTTCCCATGACCTAACTCTTACTCCTCTGCTCCCCATGACACATCATGGGGAGTGCCTCATCCATCATCTGACTCTCTGCTTGGGTGCCTTTTCAGACACTGGGATAAAATTGAACTCCAGACCCTCAAGTAAAAACAAATGTCTTACATTTTGTGT